GAAGTGGTTAAATCAAGAAGATGAGTCATACTTCGTTCCAATACAAGTCTTAGAGTCATACTCCAAGATTGTATTTGAGTGACATGTCTTTAAGAAGGTTTAAAAACACTTATCAAATGTAAGAGTAAAAGTTTTCTACTCTTGTACATTTGAAATTGGTAAGTTGTGATGTTTTGGATAAAACAAAGACCAACTAAGGCCAATTGTGTGAAGTGTTTGTCTTGATTAGAATCCGCACTATCTCTTGGATGTTTGACAAGGGAGTCTTATAGGTCAAGAGGACAGTAGGATTCTTAAAGGTCTTGAACGTCTAAAGAACTAATCAAGAATAGAACCTAGAGTTCTTCTCTAGCACACGAATTAAGGTTTATAACCTATCGTGTTGACATATTCTGTGCCCATTCCAATTAAAGTTGGCTTTGCATATGAGTTCTTAGAGTTCTCAATTGGTTGCACAACAACTTGGAAGCAATGGCAGGCTCTTGAGCTGCCAGGTGGCAAGAAATTAAGATTGAGTTCAACCCATATGGTTTTGGATTTGTCATTATCTTTGTCTTGTGATTATGGTTTTGACAAATTCACATGGATAAGAACACATACACCATTAAATCTAAGTGTCATAAGGTTTCTCTCCGATTCATGAAAATGATGGTGAGGAAACACTTTCACTAAGTAGATTTTAGCTAGATAGCAATTGTGATGTTTGCATTCTCAAAGTTGTTAGTGGAGCGTGTGTGGTTTACCGGCACACTAACTTGGACTTGTGAGAAATGGCAAAGGTCAAAACAATCAAGACTATGATTACGGCATCCCTTTTCATAGTTCTTAAAATTGTTTTGACACACCCATGAGCTATCTAAGAGAAGGTGTATGATTTTTGATAAAGTTTTATCAAAACAATCTAGTATCAGAAATCTGAACTTTGGTAAGAAAGTCAATGAAGTATTAATTTCTAGAAGTCCAGCTGATTTCTGAGTACTTGTCAAAGCTAGTGGGAGCATAACTGTAATGCTAATAATCATCATGTTAGTGGGAGCATGATAATTATGATAAGAATTGCAAGTTAGCAATGTTAATTATAGAAAACAAAAGGTTTCAATTGGGAAAAGTTGTTTTGCTATAATTAAGGGAGAGGAAATTATACTTCATCTCAAATCTATAAGCTTAGATCGTAAGGTTTTAATGATTTAGTCAAGGAAATATATATGCATTTCATGTTGGAATGGCTCAACATAAGGAAATTTTGTATATGGGTCCATTATTTGCATTCTAAAATTCGATTATGATTACGGCATCCCTTTTCATAATCTGAATTATGAGAACTTGGCAAATAGAAATGGAAATGTTAAAGCAAAAGACTGGTTTAGTCTTTATGTGAGACATCATGAATCATGTCCCATATGCTTCGGATATAGGATCGATTACATGTGCTATATTCATCCTTTCTAAAAGTTTCCAAATGCCTGGGGCATTAAGAAGGGAAAAAGGTTTAGAACTGGATATGACTAAAAGGATTAAACAATTGTCGAGGACAATCTAAGGTTTACCAAAGATTGGTTGCTCAAGGACAGTTGGAAGTATAGTGATAATTCTGGAAGGACCATATTGACATAATCTGTAAGGAGGCAACTCTTGTTCAGAAGAGATAGTCAAAATGGAATCTGGAAATGTTTCAAAGTTAGATTTTTCAATCTGTTTAAGATTAGGAAACTTAATGCAAAAAGGATGTTTCCAAGGAGTTGTTCTCCTTTGGAATAATTTGTAAATGATTGTTGCCAAGTCCTTGTGAATTTGTGCATAATCATTACAAGAGGATCAATGCATATAAGTTTAGAATCTAACAGATTTCAGTAAATGACATGAATTTGGAATTCTTGTATTTACAGTAAGGATTTGGGAGTGTGAAAAGAGAATCATTGAAGTTATGTTCAATTGATCTAGTTCACAAAGTAAAGATCATAGACAAACATAGTATGCATACTTGGTGTATGGCATGACTAGTGTTTAGAAAACATAGTGTACATGCTTGGAGCAGGGGACAACTATTGTTTTAAATTCAAGAATAAAGTTGATAGCTGAAACAGTATACAATGAATAATGTGTAATCATATGGTGATAAATAAAAGGTGTTTTATTTATGTTCATAGGTTTTGATACCATATTGGATTCAATTATTATTGTGTTTCACTTTGCATGTTTTGACTTCCCGAATAAACTAGGTTATTCTTCCGGAATGACTAAGTTATTCAAACCATCCACAGTCGGTCATATGTTGGAAGTAGATATGAATTAAGACTGTCATGGGTTGGCTTGTAGAGGTCTAAGGTGTTGGAAAAATGGCTACAACACTCATGAGTGCTCATAAGTTCTGAGTATTGGATTCAACCCGCGCTCCTTGGAATCACTTCATGGATTTTATCACGAGTGATCATGAGATGATAATATCTTATATTCTTCAAACCTAGAGATATGAGTTGTTACTATGAGTTGATAGTACATTGATTGCACGAAAACGCATTGGTAACTCGATGTTATAAAACGTGCCTTTGTTTATGATTCAACAAGTAGTAGAACAAGCCATATGAGTCGAAGTTTATCCATTCCTTTTACCTTCAGGATAAAAGCGATATCTGTGGGCCCCTCGATGATTTGATGATGACAAATGGAAGTGCTCGGCCGGGCCAGGACTGATTTGATTTGTTCAATTAGTCAGTCATCATAAATCGGAAATCGGGAAACAACAAATGGACAGAGAGAATGATTATAATCCATGTCTCAGTCCATATGATATCTAGAATGGAGGAATATATGATCCCTTATCTAATGGACCAGTCATTGACAAAGGTCAGAGTTCATCTACAAGGTCAAAGTTCGACAGAAGCTTTTGAGAGCTACGATTGCCAGTTGGTTCCTGAAGTCATACGCAATAATAGTTTTAGACTTATCCAAGTGGGAGACTGTTGGATTAATGTCTAAGTCCATATCAATAATTGGTAAGACTTGACCTGACCCGGCATGGTCCATTTGGGTTGCATGGCATCATGCACTTGGATAGACTATAATGAGAGAAATAAGACACTTATGGTTATTAATATATTATAAGTTCTAGTATATTAATAATAAGAATAATAAGATTATTTAATTAGTATTGATCAAGAATTAATCTAGGATTAATTAAGTGATCAAAAGAAGACTAATTAAATATATGGGTTGATTGTATAAATCATCCATACTTATATAGTGGGCTAATGCTCCATGGATAATCAAGTTGGGCTAAAACCCATAGGATGGTCCATGGATGCTCCATGGTGTATTTGAACCCATGGATCCAAGGAAATGGAAAGTCATGACAATTAAGGTTTACCCTAATTGTAACGCTATATAAAGATCTTATTCTTGACAAAATCGGCACTATTATTATTCTAGAGAGGGCTAGCCGATTTCATGAAGTGTAGAATTCTCTCTAAGTTATTCCAAGTGTTTATGGTGTTGTGTGAACCATTTGAGGTGTCACACTTGGGGCACTAGGCACTCAAGCTTCATGAAGACATTCTACATCAAAGAGGTATGTATTCTATCTTGTTATATTCATAGTTTTGTATGCTAGATTAGGATAATACCTTGGATGTTCATATTTGCATGTATAATAGAGAAAACATAGATCCAAGGTATTTAGGGTTGCATGTACACTTAGGAGTGTTAGAATGCTCATAACCCAACAAAAAGACCTTGAGATTCTAAAGGTTAGAGGTACCGGAATTGAATTGATTCCTAAAGAGATTGGTCAACTGACCAACTTAAGGCTGTTGGATGCGGGCGAATGTTACTATTTAGCTCGTGTAACACCAGGTGTCATATCAAAGCTCACTTGGTTGGAAGAGTTGTATATTGGAACCGATGAGAAGAATGCAATGTCTCGCCTTGGTCTTATGGAAATAAGTAACTTGAAATCATTCAGAGCTCTGCATTTATGTATGGGGTCAGATGGTGGTAATATTTTTCCCGAAGGCACCTACTTCGAAAAGTTTAAAGAATTCTTTTTTCGATTTTAGGACAGCGAAAGGTGGTCTCTTTTCAAGGAAGGATCAAAATCATGTTTAAAACGCCAACTACACATTGAAAGTTCTAGGTTCCCATTCAAGATGCCAATCAAGAAACTGTTTCAAGTAAGTGATGGTATATTACTAAAGTTTATAAGAGATTTGAATAACATCATACCAGACCTTTATGGAGAGAGTACTATTGATGAATTAAAGTCCATTGAATTGATTGGTTGTGGCAATGTTTCATGCTTGGTGAAGACAACGGATGAGGATGCAACACAAACATTTGTTGCATCCAATGACCTGATGCTTGATCAAAGGAAAACAACAAAGAAAAAGTATTTCTCCCAAGTGGAAAAAATCTGTCTGAATGAGCTAGAGAACATGAAGTTTCTTTTTGATTGTTCATCTCAATATATAAGCTTACGTAATCTACAAGAAATTGAAATTACAAGGTGTCATTCCTTGTTGATGGTATTCCCGTTAGGTGTAGCATAAGGGCTTTCCAATCTGAGACGTATACATATTTTGAGGTATGACAGTTTGATGGTATTGATTTCTGGTGGAGATGAGCAAACAGCTGATGATGACATTGAGTTCCCTAGACTTACCCATATTTCCCTTTTGGTTTTTGCCACAACTAAAGAGCTTCTACTCTGGGGATTCTACAGTCAAATATCCTTCTTTGGAGTTTATCCATGTGAGAAATTGTAGTAGAATGAAGAGATGGGGTTCCGGAGTCCACAATATGCCCAATGTCAAATTTGGTGATCATCAACGAATCCTTAATTTGTTCCATTGATGATCTTTTCAGCAAGTACATGTACAATGAGAGAGGTATATATGAAAAGACGAGTAATATACAGCCAAGGAGACGGAGACCAATTTATATGTTTCAGAGACCAATTCATCAAATAGTTGGTAAGCATCAACATTTTATCATTTGCCTATTAGCACCATTCCCAATTCATAACGAACAGGATTCTAAACATTGATCAAATTTCAATGCACCTGAGTGAGAGACTTGGTAGTCGGCGTAAGGGTTTTCATCAAATTCTAGCAAAATATCTTCAAATTGAACTCTGGATGACGAAAAACCCCTATAAAATCCCCTTTTTAAAAATCCGCAAACAAATTTGATATTTCTTCCACTTTGTCAAATATAGGGCTTCATTTCTTTTTGTTTGTCTCGGATTGTCTTTCTCATCCTCAACTTCATCAACGATACTGTTTCTCCTTTCAATCGTCTCTAAATAACAATAAGAATTATAAATACCACCTTTATGAATTATGATTCTAAAGATTGATTATTTATTTTTATAATTGGGTGTGGGATGAGAGTTAGCCAGTTTTTGATTCTAAAGATTGTTTGTTGTAGGATATGGCTTCAGGTGTCATACAATCACATATATGAGTGTTGCAATCACATACATCAGTGTAGCTAGACTAATGTAGGCTTAATATATGATTAATAATAGAAATGGAGGGTTTTGCTACCATTCAAACTAGATTATGATCCGCGTTAAATGCGGAGAATATAAATTAAATACACATCACATTAGTAGATGGTATTGTTTTAGGTGAAATTTTAATAAAAAAATGTTAGTTAGATTCATTTTGAGTTTTTTAACCAAACTTAATAAATAAAACTATTTAATATTTATATTAGATCAATTTGGTGTTTTAATACAATAATTTTTAACACAAATGATCCACGTCGTATTTGTTTTATCACAACATGATGCGACTCATTGATTAAAACATGTTGTATAATAACTTTATGAATTTACTTTGTTCGGTATACCAACCATCATGGAGGCTCATATGGCACTTTTCATATTGTTCATGTAAAACCAAAAGCAACAATAAGTTGTTATCTGTATCAGCAACGTTAAATTCTGTAAAGAAATTTGATAAACATTACAATTAAAGTGCATTGCCATAGACATAAACATCAAACTCAAACATTGTAATTTGGTCAATTTCTAAAGTATTTTTTCCTTCTAAGAATTAAAATATGATTTTTCAGGCTACACCTAATCAGATATAGTATTATTCGATCAAAGAAATTATTACAAAAAAAAAACACCTTGTTATGAACTAAAATATAATACTAGTTTCATGATTTGCCAAAGGTTAACACTAATAAATAATAATGAACTTTCACAAATCTTGCATTTTGGTCACTGCATCTAACTAACAAATAAATTTCAGTTTAGAGGATTGATTCAAGAAGTGCATCCATGACTTCTTGTAGCTAAATTTGGGGGAATGCTAAGACTTATTAAGATATGTGG